TATTTCCTATTCCTTATATTTACTTCTTCTGTTACAAGTAAATAATCAGAAGTAGCTTGCTCTGTGAAAAGAGCTGTAGATTCATGTAGATTCATGTAGATACTGCTTTTATATATATAGGGAGAGAGAGAAAGAGAGCGGACTCATCTACTTCATTTGGAGTAAAGCAGTATTCATCCCTAATTGTGATACCAGATAAAAAAACAGGTGTTAGTCTTTCAGGACAAATAGCCAAAATATCTCTTTTGTTAAGACTGATATTCTGCATCCTGCTTTCATTCGTCACTTCCACCACCCTCTCCCCATTTTTCACCAATAATTGCCAGTTTCATGCCCTATTTGTTACCCAGGGCTATGGATATGATCATGATGCTCACTGAATTGCTCTGGAAGTGGCTCTACTCAGGTCAGGGGAACCACTTTTGTGATTACTCATTATCTGAAACGAGAAAGACATAACAGTTACGGAAGAAGAAAATGATATCTACCTAAATCAGCATTTTCCCTCCAAACATAACTCCTTACTTGCTCCTTTTAATAGCTATTTTTATAATTTACAATTTGCTATTGCCCAAACTTCCTTTTGTCTGCAAATGCAGTTTTTTAAAACAAGATTGTTTAAAACAACATCATTAATTTCAGATTTATATAAATATATATAACAATGATTTAAGCACTTTAAAAAGTGCTTGTTTTTCCTTTGGCTAATATTAGCCCATTTTGCTTTAATGCACTTCCATTTTCCCTACGTGCAATTACACGTAGATATATAGATATATTTTCTAGATATAGAAGATATCTAGATATATAGATATATAGACATATATAGACAGACGTAGATATATAGACATATTTTCGTATGTATTTCAGCACAGCGCATTTTAAAAAGTCCCAGATCCTTTAGCATTCTTTTCTGGCACTATCTGTTCAGTTCTTTCCCTTGATGTTATTTTTTTTTCAGAGAAATTGCATGTTGCTTCATGAGCTCCAGCTCTGAGTGCCTTGTCATGTTTTCTAAACCTCCTTCAGGAGACTTCCCAATTCCCCAGACTTGCTCACTTGAAGTCACCTTCCTGCTAACAACCTGTTGTTAGATCTGGATCTTCACTTTGGTCTCTGATTGATTGGGATTTTTTTTCCCCGAGATCTTTGTGCCTTATTCTTTGTAACCCACGGGTCACCTTGATGATGTCTCTCCATCTATTGTCTGTGAGCCGAGGGCTGAGCCCCACGGACCCGCACGGGCACCGCGAGGCTCCCGCAGCTGGGAGCCAGGGCAGTACCCACCTTCATTGCTTCCCGTACGTGGATAAATGAAACATGAAACGCGGGTGCCCCCGCGCACGGCCACAGATGCAACGCTAGCAAGGGCTCCAAAGGAGAAGTGAGTGGAGGCCGTGTTTAGGGAGCGCCTTGACCCTCCACGGCTCCCCCGACACTCGCCCCACACACGAGCACCCTTGTCATCCTGGTGGACACCTCAGCAGCCAGGTGCCCCCCGCCATGGGTGCAGCAGTGGTCCCTACTTGTACCTGACCTGAGGGGGCAGCCGTGTGGGGGTCTGCTGATGTGGGAGAGACCCACTCATGGAGGGGGGCTCCAATGTGGGGA